TGACAACATAATCACATGCAAATAAGCATGAACTTGTCCCTCGTACTTTATTTGACATTTCTTCTTCAGACACCAACATCATTTAATGTATAGTTTGGCTTCTATAGTCATAATAGTGTGAGCTCTCGAGAAAAAAGCATCAAATTTAGTGAAAAAAAAAATTGTGTTTTTTGTGCCACATATTTCTTGAACCAATCATTATTTCGACATCGGAATTTTTTTATTTTGTTGGTAGGTAATCCCCCTTTCAATTATTATATATTTTATTGTGAAAAAAATTTTTTTTTCGGTATTTTGAAGGGAAAAACAGAGGTTACTTCAAAGTAATCTTGCCGGATTCAGTGATTTTTTTTTTCCCCAACGCGTTTTTACCGTTTATCGCACCTTTTCTTGTTTATCTCTCTTTTGTTACATGAAAAACGTGTTGGAGTCGATTTTTTAATGGTGCACCATTTGCGGCAGTATATGCCCAATAAGTCACACAAATGGGGCATGAAATTATTTGTTCTATGTGACTCATCTGGATTTGCTTATCGGTTCGAAGTTTACAATGGTGCTGGAGACAACAAACTCGTGGATGGCCATCCAAATCTTGGTGCTTCGGCGAATATTGTCATGCGATTGTCTCAAACCATCCCGGATATGGACGACGCTCGTTTTGACTGTATGGATCATTGGCCACAATGGACAGAAAAACGTGTTACGTGCAAACTCTGTGCCCAAAACAAAACAAAGGCGCTAACTATGTGCATTTGCTCCAAATGTAATATAGCTTTATGTTGCTTTAAGGGCAAAAATTGTTTCGTAGAATATCATAACAAAAAATAATTAATTTCTACTACATTCCATTGTTCTTTCATTCACTTTTCTCAATAAATACCATACAGAATAAAAATATCTACCCGTATCAAATTTTTCACTGAACCCGTCAAGATTACTTTGAAGTAATCTTCACCTTTTTGTACCTGGTAGCTAAACGGTAAGTCAAAATGAAAATCTAATGATACAGAAGTGTTTGTTATGGTCAAATTAGTCTAGAAAAAATTGTTCTGACTTTTTTTACTGGCTCTATCAAAAACTCGGGTTAGAGGGTTAACTATTGAAAAAAAATTTAAGCCGATTTTTATGGAACTTTTTTTGGCGATATATATCATGGTCTTATAGGAATTACTAAAATATTACGGCCTTACGACAAGTAGTTCAATTTTAAAAGTTCATCAAAGTTTGTAGTTGGAGAAATTTTTTTTTGACGTTTTGTTAAAATTAAAATTAGACGATTTACTTAGTATAACGATAGAGTACTTGGTTTTAATGAACATACTAAACCATTAAAGTTCTACGGAAACTGGTTCAATTATAAAAATTATTGACTTTTGAACATTTTCTTTTAGAAAATACTCCGAGTTAACATGTTTGTTCGTTTTCAATTATGTGTAATAAATCCATTCGGAATATTTTTAATCACTCATAAATTGATTTACACATATCGGGAACTTCATGTAACTTGCGTCAAGGCAAAATACCAATACCAACTAGTTTTATTTATTCTCACCTCTACCATCGGCATTCCCTTATGGGTCGCTCGGAACACTCGTAGGAAATTAAAAAACGGGTTCGTTGTGATTTTATCCCTTGTGCAAATTTTCATCCTTTGGCATGATCCTTTGGCGCCTACCATATTGCACTTCATGCGCCTTTTCCTGCGCCTGCAGGTGGCAGGGGCGGACTTTGCCCTTTGTTTTCTGGGGGGTGGCGAAAAGTTGCACGTCGTTTCATAGACCTAATAATTTATATTGATATATTAAATATGTTCATTACTTTATATACGCTTCATTATTGATGCAATCATTAAGGGGCACAACTAGTGTAACCGCCTAAAAAAAGGTGGTTTTTGGGAATTTATATAAAAAAACTACTTTATCAATCATTTCAAAATTTTAGGAATGTCTTTATATATGTTTTAAGAATATGTAGTGAAATTTTTGAAGGAAAAAATTAAATATTTTTTAAGTTATCGTCGATCTCCAACGGCGCGACAAAAAAGGCCCTTAACTGCTGCAGTGATTCTGGCCTTCTACGTAGATGAAATCAAAAAAAAAAATTCTCGTTAAACTAGATAATATTGTCTGTAAAATGAACTACGATAAAAAAAATAAATCAAAAATTGACAAAATGGCGGCGTTTTAAAAAAAAAATCGAATTTTACCCAAAATTTTGGTCGTTTTTCGACTGCCAAAGTTCGATTTTTGATCCGATCAAAAAATCGATAGTTCATTTTACGGAGAACTATATATAGAACATGTAAAAAAAATTGATAGTGATCGGATCATTCGTTTTTGAGTAATCACTGCAGCAAATTCGAATAATGCTGTTTCGAGAAAAACGCGTTTAAAGATAAAATGATCGTTGTAATATATACTATATATATATATATATATACTTTTTAAATGGCTGTAACTCAAAAACTATTTCGATTTTAAATTTTAATATGTTATTTTTAAAGGTGTTATCTACCGAAATATGAAAAAGAAACAAAAATCGATTTTTTCAAAATTCTACACTAGTTATGCCCCTTAACTATCAACAAGACATAAATTTAACTGACTATTGAAAATAATTTTAGTTGATCATCAAGTAGAGTTGTAAGTTACATGAACTTTTCGATTTGTCTAAGTAATCGATTTAAAAATTAAAAAAACTGAATTACTATAACTCCATACGATAAATTCCTGAAGTAGTATAAAAGACAAAAAAATCTGTCAACAGACTAGATTTTGCTAGACTATTTTCTTTCCTAATTATTAATACCGTGCTTTTCTGAGGAGCTGGTGTATCAGATTTTTTCTCGGCAACGACGCGTAGGAAGCAAAAAATCTTACCTTACTGAAAACAAGAGAAACATACTGTTAGTAAGCACTGCTATGAATTTAATTGAAAATAAAATGTTATTAATGAATCTGACATCAGTAAAAATTGTCTCTGGTGAGCCATTTCATATATGTAAAAATTGTGGTTTTACAAAAAACAAACTATTTAAAAAAACTCTAACAGCTGTATTATATTTTTCATTTTACGCAAACATTGATGGAATTATATTTCATAGCCTGTTATGTAAACTTTTCATAAACGATTATTTTTAATTAATACTACTCGCGCAAAAATAATTAAAAAGTCATTCATGTCACATTTTATGCATTGTTTGGTAGCAATCATTGGTCTATCATTTTGAAGTTGTCAGTTTCATTTTTTTTTTCTAAATTTTGAATTATATTTTTACCAATCATCTGTTTCTGGTTGGTCAACATCCTGGTCGTCGAATTCTTCTTCCCCAGATGTATCTTCCGCTCCTCCAGACTCTTCAGACATCTCTCTTTCCGACATTGGAGAAATTACGATTTAAAATCAAATGATTAATTAAAAATTTAGATATTCCTCAAAATTTTGTTAGGCCAATCCAACATGCTTTAAATTTGGATTTATGTAAACATATAGTACACTAATAAAATAAAAATTTCCAAACAATTTTGCCCAGTATATCAAAAATATTTAAAATTTTGTTTCACGATTCAAAGCCAATGTGATGATGAGCATGGTTTGTGATAGGAAAAACAAATTTTATTTTATTTTTGGCTGTCTTTGTGATTTATGTAAATATAACTGAAAAATAAACTAGTTGGTATTGGTATTTTGCCTTGAGGCAAGTTACATGAACTTCCCGATATGTGTAATTAATCGACTTAATAATTAAGAAATAAATTAATTTATGAGTGATTAAAAGAATTCCGAGTGGGTTTATTACACATAATTGAAAACGAACGAACACGTTGACTCGGAGTATTTTCTATAAGTAAATTTTCAGAAATCAATAAATTTTATAATTGAACCAGTTTCCGTAGGACTTTAATGGTTTAGTATGTTTATTAAGATAAAGTACTCTATCGTTATACCTAGTAATGGTCTAATTTTAATTTTAACAAACGTCAAAAGAACTACTCATTTTCTCAAACTTTGATGAATTTTTAAAATTCAACTACTTGTCGTAAGGCCGTAATACTTTAGCAAGTTCTATAAGACCATGATATATATCGCCAAAACAAGTTCCATAAAAACTGTTTGTTAGTCTGTTCACACACACACACACATACTTTTTCAAACTTTGGTCTCATTCGATTCAGAATGGTTTGAAACATCGAGAAAATATAAAATTAGCAAATCGGAATTTTTGATGAAAACATAAACTTCTCCTTCGGGAAGTTAAAAATAAATTGAAACATTTTTGTAAGAAGGTATTAAAATTAATTTGATATCAAGTTCTGGTGTTCTAAATATTTTATGAAGTTTCAACAAAATTTGAGCCTTCGTTGGCGTTTTCTCCAATTCCAAAAATTTAAACACCATTTTATGTAACTCGATAAGAAATTGCGTTGATTAATTTTGCTAGAGGATCGATCAAGCCGTTTCTTTAGAATAAGTAGGAATTTACAATAAATTTTTGACTAGGTTTTTCTAAACAATCTTGAACCAATTTTAAAAACTCAAAACCTATTTGAAGGATTTTGGTTGGGAATCGCGTTGATCAGTTTTTAGTAAAGATTGGCCGGGTCATTCATTCACCACTATTTTTAATGGGATTCAAACTTCAATTGATGTGATATTGCTAAATTATATTTTTAAATAAGTAAAATATCGGAATAATATTAATGCCTTATAGCTTATGAGGCAATTCTGCCGTAAAAGAGCTCATAAAATAGCGTTATCAAATTTACAATCAAGGAATAATGTAATGATAACAGAATTATCATAACATTATTCCTCCCTTGTTTATATATAAAATATGCCTATTCGCACAGCAAATATATAGACATTTTCATAATTTTCAATACCATTAACAAGCATAAGCTAGCGTTGCCATGACAACTCTATTTTATGAGCTCTGTTACGGCAGAATTGCTCCATTAGTCTTTTATATCAATTATTGACATGTTGTTTTTATTTTTTAGTATACAATGCTCTGTGGCTGTCCACCATTTGTCTCTAATGATGTCCGAAAAACTATTGAACTCATCAGGGAAGGACATGTCAACACTTCGTCGTCACAATGGAGCAAAATTAGTCAACCAGCTATACATCTTGTTAGAGGACTTTTAACCAGAAGTCACAAGAGATTGACGATGAGGGATTTGCTCAATAATGAATGGGTTAGTTTATTTTTTATATATAACAGATCTATAATCAGACCTTTAGACTTCTATATATGTTCTGGTTCAATAATAATATCAACTAAATTGTCCTTTACCATCTTTCCTCGTGGGGACGAGAATTGGGAGAGGAAAGTGGAGGTTTTAGTTGGTATTATTTATAATTGCGTTTGTTTTTGATGGCTTTGTTTGCTATATTCAAGTTTTAGTAGTATTATATGTTATAATATTTTTATATATTTTCAGATAAATGGAATGAGCCCCCAAACACCATTGGACACTCCGACTATGATCTCTTCGAGGACACAAACAAATGTTAATGAGACATTCAATGCTTTCCAATTGGCCCAAAGAGATGGATTCAGACTTCAGGTATTTATTATTTTTAAAATTAGAAGAGTATTAAGCTTTGTTTCTGATATTTATGAACAATCTTAGATTAATAAATATTTTGTAGGTCCAATAAGTCATATAAATTTTAACTAAAGTTAATGATGAAGATTTTTTCAACCAATGTGAAATTGATAAGCGTTGAGCACTTTATTTTTTGTAACATACGGAAGTATAACTTTCCGAACATAAGATTAATTTTTTGCTACAAAATAAGTTTTGCTAGTTTTATATTTCCTCATTCATTCTAAATAATTTAGCACCAAAATTGGAAAAAATATATGTGAAAGAAAATTATACCTTTTATTGACGTTTTCTTAAAAATTTATCTGCACAGGTTTCAAATATTTAAAAGTCGTTGATAAGTTTTGGAAATTAATGGACCAAGTCGTTTCTTTAGAGTTAGCAGATATAAGCTAATGTTTTCGTCAAAAGTTCTAAACGAAAGTGCTTTTTTTGTAAAGATCAGTCGGGACGTTTCTTCGTAAGTGAACGTCCATTAATCACGTGATCATTTTTTTAAGGTATTTTGGAGCCCCCTCCCCCTAGGTAATAATCAAACCATCACGTGTATTTTAGTTACGAGAAAAAATTATAGTTTTTTTTAATTTTTTTTGAAATGTTTGGATTTTAAAAAAAAAATCAGGTTAAAAATAAATACACGTGATATCTTACTGCCCCACGTGATATTTTGTGATTTTTTATCAAATTCCCCCTCCCACTAAAAATTAATTAATAATATATTACTAATTAATTGTTTATATTTTTTTTGAAACTTTGTACAGTGATAGACTTTACTATCTTAACGAACGTTCTAAAATATTATAGGCTTACGAAAAGTGGTTTAATTATAGGAATTTATTAAAGTTTGAAATAGTGGATTATGCTCTTATGTCCTAAGTGCATGACGGTTAATAAATACTTTTAAAAAATTAATTAGTCTGTTTGAAACATATAAATCACAAATCATATTGATTAGTTTTTTTATTTTTCATCACAATTTAAAAATTTGCTAAAACTCAATTATTATTTAAATTCCACTTGCACCTAGGGTCTTATTGTTATTTTATTTTATTTTTAAATCGAATTTGAATTCTTTTGCATCGTATCTCCGAAACGGCTAGACCTGCCTTTGCCAAAAACTAATCAGCACGTCTCCTTATCAATACGAATCGAATGTTTTTTGAATTATTCAAGTCAGTTGATCCGTGCACTCGAAAACGTGGACGAAAAATTGTATCCATACATACAGAAACACACACATCCATTTTTCTGATGTATGCCAAAATGTTCAGAAACCTCCAAAACGTGAAGAAATGCAAATAAAAAATAATTTCGATTTTTGGACGATTACAATAACTTACCCTACGCTTACCCTACCCTAATAAGTTAATAATGCTATGTATGTGGCTAAAATATGTATAATATATCAATTTTTTTTCAGGACGTAGTAAATGCAAAACTAGCTCAAAGACGTCGAATCAAAAAATCTTCATCAAGCTTCACATCTTCTGACAGTGATATTTCAATAGCCCATTCGAGTGACACCATGTCAACAATGTCTTCTCGAACAACTTCATTAAAACTGGCAAGACTCAAACGTTTGGGTGACGATTTAAACATTTCGATGTTGAAGGACTTTGATTCCAATTTCATGGATGATCCTCCACCAGTTCATCCAAAATCCAGGAAGATAACAGTTAGTTCCAGTAGCAGTAGAAGTAGCGATTGTGAAATTGTTGAACCGACCAGCAAATATTTGTTGGATTCTTCAACGACTTCATCAAATTTCGATAACGACGTCACTGTTATAAATGTTAACGAATGCAATGGTGACACTACTGTAAAAGTACGGTCACGGGTCCATAAATCAAAAAGCGTTTTTGATTTCAGCGAAGCTCGTGTACATACTTATTTATCAAGTATGTCGAGTGATGGTAGTGTAAACGATGCAGAGTTTCATGGTTTCACCAATCCTGAGGAAATTGAACCAAGTTTGAAATTAGATTCGGATAGGATCCAAAATAAGAAAGGTACGCTTAGTTGTAAAGGTTTTTGTCAAAATTGTTTTGTTGTAAATAAGCAAAGCAATCAGAAAGTTGACGTCATGCAAAATAGTTTCTATCACCCTAACAAACCAGAAGAAGTAACTAAAGATAAACCAGGTTTAGACTTTTATCCTAGAAGTATCCGAATTCTTGCAAAAACTTTAGACAAAACAGAAACCGTAGTAAAACCTCCGAAACCCAAAAACCAATTATCAAGTAAACTATTATCATTTTCAATCGTGGACCGTGTTAAAAAGCGATTAAGTCGGTTCAGAAGTAAAGCTAAAATTCCAAAAAGTGTTGCAAAAGCTACCATAGTTAAAACTCAAAAAGCATCAACTCCAGCCAAATCGAGGAAACCGATTGTGAGAATACCTTTGGGTGTTAGACGTAGTAAACGAATTAGGAAAAAAGGAGATTGATGCTTGAAAATTAGGAATAATTATTATTTATATATAGTCATTATTAGAATAAATATTATTTAGGATTAAATTTTATACATACTAAGATTATTAAGTATGTAATGACATAATGAAAACTGACAGATTTAAAAATTAATTATGAGAGGTACTTGGAGCAAAGTAATAAAAGATACAGAATTTTTGACTCGAAAATGACTTGTGCACCTTGCATATTATGTGGTCACATTGAAATATTAAAATTATTTTTCTAGTTTATTATTATAATAATTAAATACAGATTATTTATATTATCTGTAAATAATTAATGTAATTCAAGGGTTTATTTGTAGCCTTAAATATTTTCATCCGATAATTATGATGAAAATTTATAGGCAAAATCATGAAGTCCTAAAATTTCTATTCTTTATTATTAGAAACATTGCAGAAGTAAGTAATTTTTTATTCATACAATATATATGTTATTTATATAAGGAATTAAATTTTTGTGTGGTTTTCTTCGAAAAAAATTATTCGTGTATTAATTTTTGTGTTAAAAATATAAGTTGTTATTAATAATATACTATTATTGGTCAAAAAATATATATGCGCTCTGTAATGTTTTTCTTTTGAATCAATAAAATGGGTTTCATAAGTGCCATTTGTATCAAAATTAAAATTAATCGTATTTTTATGTACAATTAACTTTAATATAAGGGGGCGCGAATTAATCACGTGATCGTTTTTTAGGGATTTTTGGATCCTCCCCTCTCCCTTGGTGATATGTCGTGATATTTTAATATACCCTCCCCCAACAAATTTTTCGAATTTACGAAAAAATTGTAAAAATTTTATTTGTTTTTGAAAATTCAGGTAAAAAAATAAATACACGTGATACCTTACTAGACCCCCCTCCCTTCCCCATGTTTTTTTATGATTTCTTATTAACCCCCCCCCCCTTCTCCTAAAAGTCTCACCTAATTAATGATTGCCTCCTAAAAAGTTTAATGTATTCCAGAAAAAACATCAAATTTAAGAACCAACCACTTCTCTTTATAATATCTCGAAAATTATGGGCAGTCCATTAATCACGTGAATTTCTGGACCCTCTCTTACCCTTGGTGATATTTAAAATTGCCCCCTCCCCCTCCCCCACCAAACGTTACGTGTACTTTTATACGTAAAATTTTTTGAACAAATCTTTCAAATTTCCGAAAAATTGTAACGTTTTGTTTTTTATTTTTCGAATTTATACAAAAAATAAATACATAATACTTTCCCCCACGTGATTTTTTTCAAACTACCCTCTCTTTCCCTAAAAGCATCACGTGATTAATGGACCTTATGAATAATTTGTATAAAATTGTATTGATAAATATGTAGGCGTTTTTCTGTCATTTTTTTTCATCATTATATTTGCTTTCACATTTTGCAGTTTTGTAATAATTCGAAAAAAATTACAAATAATTTTATTTTTTTTTTGAAAAAAAAAACAATGTGCCTTAATGTAACCAAACTGCTGGTATACATGACACTGAGACTAATTCTAGACGGAATACGATTTATTTTAATTTTTGTGGAAATAGCACTTATGAACCGGTTTCATTATATATATTTTGCCTATACAGGAAATTTGTATAACGTAAATATTGATTTGTTAATAACAACTGTACTTATATTATATAAACTATTCTTAACACAGAAATTAATACACGAATAATTTTTCTGCAAAGAAAACTACTCAAAAACTTGTCTTCTTAAATAAACAAACAAATATTCCTACTTCTGAAATGTTTCTGATTTTAAGCAATATTAACAAATAAAAATTTATAAAAAAAAATTAATAAAATCGAGTGAATCAATCAATTTTGAGTCTTCTTACCTTTGCTACAAGTTCCTCTGTATAATTTATTTAACCTAGGTAATATGTGATATAATATGCATAACCAATGCTATAGATTGTTTTTTTTTTGTTTTCGTTATAAACTGGACCATTTGCATTTAATTTCACATGTTTTTTAGTTCTACCAAAACTTCTAATCACAAAGTGCTCTTACTAAAATTTACAGTGATATTTTTTGTTATAAACGTAAGGGATCACTAACAAAAATTATGCCTCAATTGTTCTACACTTACTACTATATATAGTATATATACATATGATTATATATAGGAACAACAAATTTTATATGAATATAAATATTCTTCAAGATCCATAAAATATTTTTATATAAGGGAAAATTTAATTTGTTTATATAAATAAGTAGTATAATTTTGTTGTTTGTACATAAAAATGATATTTAGGTTTAGTTATTTAATTACTTGTAAGGTAAATAACAAATTAAATCGTAGTATTGTTATGACAATTCCTATTTATATTTTATTGTAGAAATATAAACATTCGATTCAAGACATTTTAGTATATAATTTGATCCCAAGAGTCCTAAATTATTCCTGTTTTTATCCAATTAAAACAATTTAGCATATAATCAAAGAATCTCTTTATTGCTTAAATATAAATTACACAACAAAATTAACACTTTTCAAATTTTGTACATAATTTATTATATATTATCTTGTAACTAGTCACACAGATAAAATAATTCATACATTTTTTAAGAAAAATCACTGGTAACAAAATAAGCATGAGGTAAGGTGAATAAGCATATTTTTAAGTAAATCAACAAACTTGAACACAAAATTGGATTGGACTGAATCTACATTTTATCCATGAAATGAGGTAAGCCTGTTTTATTCCTTCTACGAGTTAGAATTTCACAGCCAGTTTCATTCACTAACAAAGTTTGTTCGAATTGTGCAGACCACAATCCGTCGCAGGTGACTGCTGTCCAGTTATCAGGCCACTGGTCGTCTTTCCAGGTTCCTTCGGAGATCATTGGCTCTATTGTGAAACAGTGGCCGGGCTTCATCACACCGATTGCTTTATTTTCTGGTAATAATTGAGATAAATGAAATATTATATAAATTGGATAACTAATTTATGATAAATTAATTATTTTTTATTTTTTGCAGAATACATGTCAATGAACTTAAAAGGAATGGCAAATACAAGTGTTTCGAGATACGAGCCGCCATAGGAGCGATTCGTTGCTTCGACATACGAGCTTTGAGCGAGTAAGGTTTTTCTAAAAAAATGTTGATGGTAAAATGAAAATATGAAATTTTTGTGAGTTTTATGATTTTTCTATACATCATATCTTATATATAAAATTCTTCTGTACGGGTGTATGATTTGATACTTCTCCTAAACGGTTATTCGGATTTTGATAATTCTTTTTAGAGTTTGTCAAACGAAATTTTTAATATTTAATGAACGATAAAACTATAGTTATATTGTTGAAATAAATGGCAAAAATTACAAAAAACCACTTATCATTGTTTGACATTGAAAACATTTGCTAGAAATGTCAATTCATTTGAAATTTGAATTTAGCTGAAATTATGAGTCTAGAATATAATATACAAGAAAAATGTAATATCTGCATTATTATTGCCGAAAGGCAGCTGAGATGTGCCAGAAATAAAAACAATATAAGATGCAGTATATGTTGGCAGATGAAATTATATAATTCAGTTTAATAAATAACGCACTAAGATCAAAATTGCTATACATTATTTTTCTATACTTCTGCATATTGCATTTTGGTTTACTTTACTAAATTATTTAACAATGCAAACAAATATTTTTACTTATTAAAAAAATGATTTAGAATTTTGTTACGCGTGTCAAATATTTATTTTTTTGGCATTGGATACGGAATATTTAGCAAGTTGATCGTAGATAGAAGAGTGCTCATATGAATAAGATTTCACAAATTAATTCACATAAGATTTGAACATAAACAATAATGTTTATTAAATTAATAGTAAGAAAAATATACTTTAGAAATTATAATTGCCAAAAAGCAACTCATATCATACGAGGTTATGAAAATTATAGACTAAATTATTGAAGCAATTATGTTCTGTGATAAAATCAAGTGTGATATTGTTCTTTTACTGCAGATACTATATTATTTTTTTCTGAATTTTTTATACTGCTTATGCTAAGACCATAAATGGATCCCAAAGGCAGGACATCAAATAGGATATTAAAAAGTCTAGGATAGGATATTAAAAAAAGTGGACCTTTTGAATTGTAGTACAGGTTTCTAGTATATATATATATATATATATATATATATATATATATATATATGTTTTTCATGTTTAAATAAAATAATCATGAGAAAAGATCTACTTACTTGCATAATGAGGAACATTAGGAGCAGTATGGAACAGCCTGTGTATTCCGTGTCCACAATAGCTCCTAACAACACTAAACCCATGAGCTTGTGCATGTTTCTGAATAACATTTCCAATTTCCCTGTACTTCTCACCAGGTTTAACAATATCTATAGCCTTGCTCAAACATTCATACGTAACTTGAACAAGTTTCTTATGTTTCTCCAAAACATTCCCAACAAAGAAGGTTTCATTCAAATCCCCATGAAAACCATTATGATAAACCGTGATATCTACATTGCACAAATCACCATCTTCCAAAGGTCTTGTGTCTGGGATACCGTGACATATAACTTCATTAACCGATGTGCAACAAGAAGCAGGAAACTCGTAATAATTTAATGGACTGGGGTAGCAGTTTCTTTCAATACAAGCTTCGTGAACAATGCGGTCAATTTCATCAGTAGTTACTCCGACGTCGCAAACTCTTGCAGCTTCATCTAATACTTCTCTGCCCAACTTGCAGGCTACTCTCATTCCTTCGATTTCTTCATCATCTAACACTTTTATGTTAGAAGTTCCTTTAACAGCTAGTTCTGATAAAGGATACCCTTGGGGGTGATCTGCATAATCTGGTCTACCAATGTGAGGAGGGACTGTTCGTTTTTGGGACTGAGGGAAGGGACGGAGTGCTCCTGTGAATTTATAAGAAGGCCAGGGTTTGTAGACTGAGTTTTTAGATGGCTCGTTACCTTCACCCTCTGGAAAAAAATATAGTATTTAAGTTTTTGTCAAACTCATTCATAACAAATGTTATAATATACATAGAAGGGGGCTAATAAAATGTCTGGAACATAGCTCTGTACCGACCAGAGACATGGATTCTAAGAAAGGTCAATGAAAAACTATCTGGAAAGTTTTGAAATGTGGAGATAAAGTGGACAGATAAAATAATTAATGTAAATGCTGGAACTTCCCATACCATAACTAAATGTTCAAGAAATATTAAATGTTTTCAAATAGATTATTATAAATACTGAGACATTGTCTAATAATTATAAGAAATATATTTATATGTATTATAAAGTTAACGTTAGTTATTAAAAGTATATGAGAGAATTTTAGAACTTTAGCAAGAATTAAAATTAAAATTCTGAATTATTTTCGATATACAAAAATGAAAAAAAAAAGACAGAGTATTGAATTATTCGAGTTAATATTTCCTCTACCAAAACTTTATCCTCGTCAGAAATAAAGTCATAAAAAGATAAATAAGAAATTTTGCAAGCACTTAGGCATGCCATTGTTTTATAATTAAATTTGTTATTATAAATATTTTCTATCTACTTACGTGCAATATTATGAATGATTTTATGATTCTTCCAACTGCCCTTAAAGCATTCTTGTGAACAAAAGAACGAACCAGGAATTCCTATTTTAATACAAGTCGGGCATTGCAATTTTGCTATAGATTTGCAACCAGGAGTTTCACACATTCCTAATCCAGACATTTTAAAATATATTTAATTTATTAAATTGAACTAGTTAACATAACCTCAAAATGGCGGAATTTATTGAGAGATGAGTGATTTTATAAAGTGAGTGAGGAAATTAGAAGATAATTATGTGTCAAGCACTTGTTTATCACTAGAATGCTGTTTGTATTTTTAATAAAACTAATAAATGAATTAGCAAGTTTAGAAATGAGGCTAAGTGTGTTGCTCCCTTGGAGCAATAGAAAAGAAGTTAAAGTGACAGCTGGGGGGACATTTTGTTCATGGGCAAAAATTAAATGTTATAGTAAATATAAGCAACCAATACATGGTTTTATATTATATAGAGTAAAATATTACATAAAATAATAGATTTATTTTGAATTAATTGCAAAAATACTATTAATGTGGTGTTTATAATATTTGATTTTCTTGCAAATCTGCAGTTGAGCAAAATGGTTACTAACTTCATGTCTATTGAATAAGAATAATAAAATTTAAATATTATAAATGGTAAACGGTTCATTTAATTTTAATAAATTACTGATTACAACAGTACACACAAAAATACAACATTTTCCGTACTATTAATGTTATAATTCTATTTTTTTAATTTATTTCTTCTTTTTTATTAATTTTAAATGCCATATTGGGCAACACTAAAAATGGCGTCCAAATTGAACACAGAGCGGAACGTCATCATTTTCCATAAGTTTGACATTTGATTAAAAGTGATAAATTAAATACTAAATTTTGTTATAATTTGTGGAAACAGTGCAAAAGCCTTCATTAATTTAATTTAATTTACGTTCCTTAAGTTTATTCTGTTTTTGTTTTCATATTTGCACATTAAGGTAATTATTTCATTTCATATTTATTTCATTATGTTTTTTTTGTTGTACTAGAGGAGGATCCCAGAAATTTTAGTTATGAGTCATAGCATAAAGAAGGTTTTATTTGTTCAGTAAATTTGTGGCAAATTGATAGTAATTTTATGTTCTGGAATTTATTTGACAAAAAAAGTGGTTTTACAAGGTGACACAACTACTTCTAAGAACTTACAATGGCTAACAATATAAAAAACTATTTATCTGCTTTTTGCATTTTATATGACGTTTCATAAAATGTATCAGTTTTGTATTAATTATATACAAGTAACAAATTAGCATTTTGTTCTACCAATTTAAATCGAGTGCCCATGGGAACTTTTATAGAAATGAATTTGATACAAAGACTTTATCATTTTTGTTTTTCTGTCAATTAAGGTTAGGTTGTTTAAGTCGTACACCCTAAAGAAATAATGCTAGAATATTTAGTGCAATTAAATTAAAAGAAAATCTTTATTGAATCTTTATTTAGTTGGCTTATGATTTACAATTACTGAATTTTAATTAGTTTTTTCTTAAATTAGGTATTTTTATATGTTCGAAAATGCAATAATTATCATTTCGAAAATGTCCAAATAGAAAACATCTACGATTGGATGGAAAACTATACCAATTTGTTATATTGTGTCGATTCCATATTGTTTTGCAAATACTGCATCTATTGCAGGGCCAGCTTTACGATATCGTCGGGCAATTCACAACATTTAGAGACCATTTACAACATTTTTAGGCAATCTACAACAATTTTAAACTAGTTTTTAGGCAATCTACAGTATATTTGAACAATTTGCAATACTTTCAGACAATCAACAACAATTTAAGACAATTTACAACATTTTCAAATGATTTACAACTTTCTTAGACAATAATCTTTTCAGATAATTTATTACAATTTTAGACCAGTTACAATGTTTTCAAACAGTTTACAGCATTGGTTATTAGACTGGTTACTATATTTTCAGATAATCTGCAACAATTTCAGAAAATTTACAATATTTTTAGACTGTTTACAACAATATCAGATAATTTACAACATTCTCAGATATTTGACAACATTTTCTCCTGACAATTGTGGTTCGATAGAGGCATCTAGTTGTCTTAGCTGTACCTACTTATCAAATTTATATATAATTCAGTACGATATTAACTTTTCTTTAGTTATTAGTTACCAAGTCAAAAACTAGCTATTGGATTAACAGCTTGCATTAAAATAATCATTTCAAAATGTACTGAATGTACCTATAAAAATATTAAGTTACTGGGTGCTAAGAACAAAGTTGAAACCATTCATGAAGATGCAGCCATTGTTGATTACACTCACTTAGTTTTTTTAATTTGAGCAAAAAAAATTAACTATTGTATTTATCCATTATTTTTCCATATTTATAAAATCTCAACGTTAGCATAGAAAAATTAAAAAATATAAAAGTGAAATAAAATTTATGTAAAATGTAAAAATATATTTCTGAGCCCGGGGCCGTCTTGGGTCTTGTGCCCGTGGCATTTTGCCACTGACTTTGCCTTCTTTTATTTTTAACTATGAAGCATAAAATAATCTTTTGATAATGTAGGATTTAAAGCGTTGATAATGTTAAAATGCCATTTCAAATTGTTACTTATATTTTCTCCAAGAAATGTTATTATTAAAGATATAATTAAATATTTATCATTTGCAAATCAAATGAAGTCACACAGATCAGAATATTGGGGCAGGCCATTTATATAAATGAGAGAAACAAGTGGTCGTAGGACCTACTCTTGCGGAACTCCCATCTTAATATATAGATTGCTTGAAACAAATTCAACTGATTTAAATTGATGTTACGGTTATTGAAAAATCATATGTAAATTTGGCACATACTTTTCTTTTTATTATATTTCAATGCTCAAACTTTATTTATACTTATAGTATTAATTTTTTTTATCTTGATTTCCTTTACTCTTATTTCATGGCTTATAAATATTATTATTAAACACAATTATTTCAAGTTAAGATCTGGGAGATTACTCCATTATCCTTTAATATTGTTTATTTTATTTTTATTCTTATAATTTCCAAAATCAGCACAATGGACTACAAAAATGGCTCCGGTGATATGGGAAGCAAGGGCTCCACATCCAAATCCCCCCTGGAGCAAACACAAGCCGCAGTTAACGATGTTGTTAACATAATGCGAGTCAATGTTGAAAAAGTCTTAGAAAGGGACCAAAAATTATCAGAACTCGACGACAGGGCAGACGCCCTACAAATGGGGGCTGCACAATTCGAGCAACAGGCAGGCCGATTAAAACGCAAATACTGGTGGCAAAATTTGAAAATGATGATAATAATCGGTATAATAGGTGTAGTTCTCTTAGCAATAATCATCATATCTCTAACGTCTTCTAACAATTCTGAGCCGGCAGTAACAGAAAAGCCACAATCGTAAGACTCGAGTAACATTTTGTATGTGCCTTCAGCTTTTATTTTGGTATAAATGAAAAGACAAATCAGCCGATGAGAAACAATTATTAATGTTAGTAATATAGGTGTCTTATGTAATGATAGCATTTTGTGTGATAACAGTAATTTTTCACGACAATAAAAATAAAGCACATTTTATATAACATAGTATATATCAAGGTCTTACTTGTTTGGATAATGATTTGTATATAATTTATTGAGAAATTTATATCCATATATTGTTAAAGAAAAATTATAATGTTATTAAAAGTATTTAAACATATTTATATTAAATTACATATATGTTGCATTATTCATCCACTAAAATGATTGTATTTATGGTTCTTTATAAATAAAATTGAATCTTCCTATTTATGCATAGTCGAATGTTTTATTGTTATTAGTAATTTTTTATTTGATGACACAAGATTGCATAACTTTGATGATTGAAGAATTAAATTATATTTAAATTATAATTTTAAGAAATTTTATATTACAAAATTGGTTTCTTCGCCTGAAAAGAAATTTATAAAATCACTTTTTTTGATAAAATATTTTTTTATGTGAATAAGTGTTAGTGTATAATAAATCATACAGGTAATTAATTCTGTTTTTCAGTAACCTTTTCTTAAAACTTTCTAATTTCTTAACATTTTTAATATTTTGTTATATAATCCACTCTTGTATTTTTATCATTTTCATTTTGATTATATTGTCATATTTCTGTACATTATTTTTTCCACAATTTTATTCATTTTATATAAAGAAAATCTACCATTTTCAGCTTTTCTTAAACATATTTATGCTTAAATCTTATCAAGATCATGTTTCTTGACAGATGTCCTGAAGATGAAACGTACCTAGTTCCGAAACGTCGACAGTAAATAAATAAAGAAAAGGTTTTTTAAAAAAAACCTTTTTTTATTATTTTTGAATTCTTTGTTCAAAGCTCTACAAAATATTTACAAATCCAAGACTCTACCATCTAATATGTGTGTGTATATATTATATTATATTATATTAATGGCAATCAGAACTTAACGAGTACTACGAGCTGTATTGCTAAATTCTGAAACAATGTGTTTTTATAGATGGCAACTCTAATGGTTCTCCTATCTCTATATAATGAATTTATTATTGCATTTTAGGTAAAGCATATGAATTTTTTTAATGCAACAATGCCAGCGAAGGGCTGCTACTTCTTGACATCAGGCTGCCTGAGACTTGTATTGAACATAGAGTTTCAAAGGCCATAGTTTTATCCACTAAGTTTTAGGATAATCATGAAAAAAAATCTGAATATATACATGTATATATTGATTTATACATTGTTTTTCGATTATATATGGCCTCGGTATTTAAGGAAAATGAATATATACATTTATATATCGATTTATACACTATTTGCATATGGCCTCTGTATTTATGGAAAATGGATATATACATTTATATATCGATTTATACACTATTTCCCGATTATATATGGCCTCGGTATTCAAGGAAAATGAATATGTACATTTATATATTGATTTATACACTTTTTCCCAATTGTATATGGCATCCGGTATTTATGGAAAATGGATATATACATTTATATATTGATTTATACACCACTTAGGAATTATATAAGAACTTGGTATTTAAGGAAAATGGAAATATACATTTATATAATAATTTTTAGTCTACTTAGCAATTATATAAGGCCTCGGTATTTAAGGAAAATGGATATATACATTTATATATCGATTTATACACTATTTCCCCATTATTTATGGCTTCGGTATTTGAGGAAAATGCATATATATATTTATATATCGATTTATACACTATATCCCCATTATTTATGGCTTCGGCATTCAAGAAAAATGAATATATTTATACATCGATTTATACACTATTTCCCAATTATATAAGGACTTGGTATTTAAGGTAAATGGATATATACATTTATATATCAATTTATACACTATTTCCCGATTATATATGGCCCTGGTATTTAAGGAAAATGGATATATACAATTATATATCGATTTATACACATTTCCCAATTATATATGGCCTCAGTATTTAAGGAAAATGGATATAAACATTTACATATAATAAATTATAATTTGTGTAGAAATGGTGTGCTGAACATATCGTAAGTTGTTGCTTTTATTAATTATATTAACATTTATTAAATTTATTAAGACGCACTAAAATATTAAACATTATTTATAATTATGATACCATTAAAATTATGACCAAATAAATTAATAAATATTCATATAATATTAATAAATATTCATATAATGTTATTAAAAATATAATACATTAATACAAAAGAAAATATTAGCATTTATTATGCTCTGTTCTAGAAGTTTCTATATATATCTAAATATGTGTATTGATTTCTACATACTTTCTTATATAAATCTACATTTCATATCTGAATCTTTCTTTCTCCAATTTTGAAAGCAAATTCAAATGTCCCGCCATACTCAGTGATATGTGACGACAGCAGCGCCTCTATGCAAAATTGTTCCCAGTATTAAGGAAACTATTAGGAAAGTAGGAATACTTGTTTATCTATGGTAGGAATCTTAGTGAATTCTCATTGGATTCCTTCATACGCTATTAGATATATAATTATGGTCTCAGTTTGTATGGGAATTGGATATATAAATGTATATATTGATTTATACATGATTATATATATACTAGCTGTCTTAGTTTCGATGGGAATTGGATATATAAATGTATATATTGATTTATACATGATTATATATATACTAGTTGTCTCAGTTTGTATGGAAATTGGATATATAAATGTATATATCGATTTATACATGATTATATATATACTAGCTGTCTCAGTTTGTATGGAAATTGGATATATAAATGTATATATCGATTTATACATGATTATATATATACTAGCTGTCTCAGTTTGTATGGAAATTGGATATATAAATGTATATATTGATTTATACATGATTATATATATACTAGCTGTCTCAGTTTTTATGGGAATTGGATATATAAATGTATATATCGATTTATACATGATTATATATATACTAGTTGTCTCAGTTTGTATGGAAATTGGATATATAAATGTATATATCGATTTATACATGATTATATATATACTAGCTGTTTCAGTTTGTATGGAAATTGGATATATAAATGTATATATTGATTTATACATGATTATATATATACTAGCTGTCTCAGTTTTTATGGGAATTGGATATATAAATGTATATATTGATTTATACATGATTATATATATACTAGCTGTCTCAGTTTGTATGGAAATTGGATATATAAATGTATATATTGATTTATACATGATTATATATATACTAGCTGTCTTAGTTTTGATGGGAATTGGATATATAAATGTATATATTGATTTATACATGATTATATATATACTAGCTGTCTCAGTTTGTATGGAAATTGGATATATAAATGTATATATCGATTTATACATGATTATATATATACTAGCTGTCTCAGTTTGTATGGAAATTGGATATATAAATGTATATATTGATTTATACATGATTATATATATACTAGCTGTCTTAGTTTTTATGGGAATTGGATATATAAATGTATATATTGATTTATACATGATTATATATATACTAGCTGTCTCAGTTTGTATGGAAATTGGATATATAAATGTATATATCGATTTATACATGATTATATATATACTAGCTGTCTCAGTTTGTATGGGAATTGGATATATAAATGTATATATTGATTTATACATGATTATATATATACTAGCTGTCTCAGTTTGTATGGAATTGGATATATAAATGTATATATTGATTTATACATGATTATATTTATACTAGCTGTCTCAGTTTGTACGGGAATTGGATATTTAAATGTATATATTGATTTATACATGATTATATATATACTAGCTATCTCAGTTTGTATGGGAATTGGATATATAAATGTATATCTTGATTTATACATGATTATATATATATATATATACTAGATGTCTCAGTTTGTATGGGAATTGGACATATACAGGTAATAAAAAGCAACTTTGGGACATTTTTTTGGTTTTTATCAAATAACTCACAAATTTTATATGAAAGCACTCTTTCTCAGTTAGATAGCGTGAAACTAGAATAAATTTACTACAAGAAAAATACAATAATTAATAAATACATATAAAATTCTGAAAACGATTCAAATCTGAAAATAAAATCTAAAAAAAGACAAATTCTTAATATAATTAACTTTTATTATTTTATGGTGATGTGGAGTAGATAGATTTAAATTTATTGGATCTAGATTTTATTATACAAGTTTTAGTGTAAAAATAAATACTTAAGAAATACAATTTTAATATACATACAATTCAATAAAATCTAAAAATATTTTTGAAATTCGTTTTGAAAATCCCGCCTAATAAAGTTTGACTTATCTTGTGTCTGACTTCACACCATAACATTAAACTTTTAGTTATGGCGAACATTCGCAGAGTGAAGTTTTATGTGGCGAAAATTGCATTATTTGCATGATATCAAAGTGATAACAGTAAAATAATAGGTAAATTTTAGAAAATCTTAGCAATGGAATTCGAATAAATCAAAATGCGCCTTTACTTCCACGCGAAGTAAACTAAAAACAACAAAATAATCTACCATGAAAGTCACCTGAATCCCTTGCAAGATTGTTCTTATCTGGCCTGAAAATGAATATTACCATGATGGATCATGATTTTAAAATGAAAACACAAGCTGAGCGAACTAAGGTCGAGGATTTGTTTGATTATGAAGGCTGTAAAGTGGGTAGGGGCACTTATGGCCATGTATACAAGGCCCATAGGAAAGATGGGTCTGATACTAGGGATTATGCCCTAAAACAAATTGAAGGCACTGGACTGTCCATGTCGGCATGTCGAGAAATCGCAGTGAGTCTTTTAACCAATATAATAGTAATAAGAACTTATTACTACTTAATTACACAACTGTAAACGACTGGAGCATATTCCACTTATTTGTAATGCTGCTCTTTAGTTATGTTGACAAACTCACATAATTTTTATCATTACATTTCAGTAATAAGGAATTTCTACTGTATACATTTAATTCAGCCCAAACAATCTTCACTAAGGTTGCTTTTCTTATTACAGTTGCTGCGAGAGTTGAAGCACTCAAATGTCATCAACCTCATTCGAGTATTTTTATCACACACGGACCGGAAAGTTTGGTTATTATTCGATTATGCTGAGCATGATCTGTGGCATATTATTAAATTTCATCGTGCTGCCAAGGCTAACAAAAAACCTGTGATGGTTCCAAAAGGAATGGTTAAAAGTCTTCTGTATCAAATTTTAGATGGAATACATTATCTACATTCCAATTGGGTTTTACATAGAGATCTGGTAAATATTTATGATTATACTGCTATCTTTTTATTTATTATAAATAATTCGTTTATTTTTGGTAGAAACCAGCAAATATTCTAGTTATGGGCGAAGGCATTGAAAGAGGCAGAGTTAAAATTGCTGATATGGGTTTTGCTAGATTATTCAATGCACCGTTGAAGCCTCTTGCAGATTTGGACCCGGTTGTGGTGACTTTTTGGTATCGAGCCCCAGAATTACTTCTTGGTGCAAGGCATTATACAAAAGCTATAGGTAATAATAAACTGATGATATTTACTGTTATTGTATTTATTCTATGTTGGCCTATGGACCTGCTTTAACTTTAATTAAAAAATAAGTCACTGGAGTGATTTCTGTATATTTCCTATATTAAATATGAGCTTTATTTGAATCTTATTGCAATAGCCTATAAAATTGTATTATTTTATTAATGATAATATGGTAATTTTATTTAGATATTTGGGCCATTGGTTGCATATTTGCAGAGTTATTAACAAGTGAGCCAATTTTCCACTGTCGGCAAGAAGATATAAAAACAAGTAATCCGTATCATCATGACCAATTGGATAGGATTTTTAATGTAATGGGTTTTCCTTTGGATAAAGATTGGGAGGATATTAGAAAAATGCCTGAGCATTCTACATTGTCGAAAGATTTTAAAAGATCAAAGTAAGATTTTAATCCTAAATATAATAAATATTAATATGTATATTTATTTATACTAGATAATCCGACAGACGTCCTGTACTCTCATCTACATTTTTTCAATATCCTATAATAATATTTACTGTTCAGTTAAAAATATTAATTATTGTTTTTCGAATTATTATTTACACAAATATATGAGTGATGTTAAATGTGGAACTGCTTCAAATAAAATGACGATTCTCAATTCCCACAGTTAACACTTTAATTATCCTTTTAACAAATTTTAAAATATGTTCAGTAAAATTGTATATTAAAAATTATACACTGCAATTCATAGAACAAATTTATTTCCAATAGCTCAATTTATTTTAATGCCAAGGGTTATACAATGATTTTAGTTATACCTGTAGATGTGAATGATTTTTTGTTTATTCACAACTAAAACATTGATTTTCCAAATTGATCACACAAAAATTCATCGTCTGCCTCTGTGATTTATAGCATAAGATATACGTATTGGAAATTGCAGTCTTTTAAACAGTATAACGAATTCAGAAAAAATTCATATATAGTATTCGCAGTAAAGGGACAATATCACCTTTAATTTTTTTACTCAAAATAATTGTTTCAATAAAATATTAACTTACATTACAAAATATTAAACTAAATTACATTTTTTTAATAATAATTTGAATATCATTACTCATTTGCGTGATATTTTGGAATCTCTTGAACCAAGTTAACTCTAGATGGAAAACGATTAATTTTAATTTAATTTAAATGAAAAAAACATTGTGTGCTCCTTTAATTTGGGTGATAGCTCACACATTTCATATGCAAGAGACAGTAAAAAAATTCAGACCCAAAATGCTCCATGAAACTTCTAAATAATTTCCTAAATAATTATATTTTTTTTGTATTGTGATTTAGTAAAGTAAGGCAAAACAAGACTGCATTAGTTAAAATATAATAATCTGTCAAATTGAATATGTTAGAGCGCAATCACTTACAGTCCACATTCATCAGATGTATGCGCAGACTGTTTATTTATCAAATATATAATGCATCTTATATTATTTTAATTTTTGGCACATCTCAGCTGCTTTTTGGCAATACATTACATTTTCCCTATTTATAATCATGAATATATTACATTTTAATATTGTCTTAGTCTATAAGTGAATGGAAATGTTTGGCAAATGACAGTCTTCATTTGTTTTTAATGCCAAAAACCGATTTTTTGTAATTTTTTTCATTTATTTTTACTATCTAACTATATTTTTATAATTCAAAAAATCCTAAAAAATCTCCTTAACAAACTTCAGAAAGATTTATGAAAATCTGAATAATCGTTTAGAAGGATTAACCTTTCATACCCCATTACAGAAGAATTTTATATATATGTATATATATATATATATATATATATATATATATATATAAATAGAAGTGAAATCATAATTATGTTTCATTTTTTTTAGTTACCAAAACTGTTCCTTGGTCAAATACATGGAACGTCACAAAATCAAACCAGACAGCAAAGCCTTCCACCTTCTCCAAAGATTACTATTAATGGACCCGAACAAACGGATAACATCTGAACAAGCAATGCATGATCCCTATTTTTCTGAAGAGCCTATGCATACTCCGGATGTCTTTGCCGGTTGTCCAATTCCGTACCCGAAAAGAGAGTTTTTAACCGATGATGATCAGGATGAAAAAGCTGATAGCAAGGCCAGGCAGAATCAACAGCAGCAGCAGCAACAAAATGTGAGTCAATTTGTATATTTTATGTGATACATTTAGTATAAAAAATCATGGTTGATTCAGGATTTTAAATAACTGAAATATTGCGATGTTCTTGAAATAATATTTTAATATATATGATGGATTTTTTTTTAAAGTTTAATAGCTATTATGTAGAACTGTGTTTCAATAAATAACATTGTTATTTCAATATATACATGTACACAGTTATGTAGTATTTTTATACCACAATATTAAATAATTGTTTTTTATGAATCTTTTATTTTAACAACACACAATTTTTTTCCTGATTCTGACAATTCATGCTTTTCCCTACTTAGTAATATTTAATATTTTATTTTAACTTCTTCTATTTTATTTTAACTTTATTAATTAATATAAATAAAATCAAGTACTTAAATCAGTGATTTACAATTTGCTGCAAGAGGGGGGCTTGCAGCTGTTTCTGAAATAACATTTTTGAGTACCATGGAAAAAAACAAATAGGCATAAAAAAATGTATAATTACATATTTATTTATATACATATATTTTTCCATAATATTGCATATTATTTGGTAGCCCATTAACCAGTTAACTCTGATTGAGGAGTATACTTGTCAAAGAAAAGTGGCAGAATTTTGTATACTTGCGAGTATATTCAATGAAATAATATACTTTCTACTTATATACTCAGCTAGTTAAGTAAGATTTTTTACTGTTTATTTTTGCTTTTACAAAAAACTATTCAATGAGATTTTCAATTGACTAACTAATTGTATTACTAACAAACTTATTGAACATTTATTAGTATTAATTTAATAAATTTAATACACTTCATTCTAATTCATGATCTAAAAATACATTCAATTTAAGAGTGAATTCAAGAGTAAAAATTTATCTATACAGTCCGTATACCAGGAGCACTAATTTTCCAATTAAGCTACTTTTTCTAGGCTTATATAATATTTTGATGCTCGTATCATTTCACAGGAAGAATTTGATTTTTTACCTTTATATGTATAATATTTCATTGAATTTATTTAGGTTTTCGTTTATTTCATGTGTATATTACATACATTCTTATGTTTACCAAAAAAATAAATTTTTAATTTTGTAAAATAAATTTATCTTTTGTTTCCGCGCTATAGTTAACTGTTTAAATAATTAAGGTGACAGTCCCGGATTCTCACCTTGCATCCCGGGTTTTCCTAAATGCAATATTCCTCCCTGATTTCATTCTTTTGTCCTAGGCTTTTAAAAAATAAAGGTATAAACTGAGTTTTTGCAATTACTTGATAAAATTACAAATATCTGAAAATGATGTAAACAATAAGTATGCTTATTGTTTACAATACTTATACGTACAATACGTATACTTACTATATAAAGGTTATAAATGGGAAAATTTTCGAATGCAAAATACCAAAGTGGTAAAATAGAATCTCACATTTATAGTTTCGGACTACTATTTTCAATTTTTCGAAAATTAGCTTAAAAAATCTTATAGTAAACATTTCTTTACATCCAACAATTTTTTTTATCTCTATTTTAATTTATGGAACCATAAATGATAACTCTCACACTTAGCTTCGCTCTTCTGTAATAAATTACCCATGATATAAAAATTTTTACCAATATTTTTTTTATTTAATAACTGTGCAGATTTCCAAATTAATTGCTCTAATAATGTTGCCTAAAATTTGTATAATCTTATATCATATTCTAACTGGTTCTTAGATATTTTTAATATCTAAATTACATTTTTCTTAGTAATAATTTAAAATACATTATTACTAGGACCGATTCTGAGGTCCTCAGTGCCCACATGTCATTTTTAGCTGTTTTGACAGTTTATTATTAAAATTATCATCATTAATTAATATTTGGCTTTTGAAGCATTTTACTTATTTATTTTGCGCATTTTATGCGATTTATTCTATTGAGCAAATCATAAAAGAGCAGAAAAATTCTAGCCTTTCATTATGAAACAATTACATAGTAAACTTCTCCTAATTGATATCGTAAGAGCCGAATTGTATGTATTCATCTTTACTTTCCCATTTATTGTAAAGTGAAATTTTTAACATATTTTAAAAATATTGTGCAAAGATTAGTAAAAGATGCAAAGAATTATACATATATATATATATATATATATATATATATATATATATATATATATATATATATATATATATATTGAATGGTAGAGTCTTGGATTTGTGTATATTTTGTAGAGTTTCGAACAAGAATCCAAAAATAATACAAAATAAAAAACAAGAAAAGTTTTTAAAAAAACAATTTCTTTATTTAATTATTTGTTTATTGTCGACGTTTCGGAACTAGGTACGTTCCATCTTCAGGACATCTGTCAAGAAACATGATCTTGATGAGATTTTAGCAAACAATATGTTTAGGAAAAGAAAATAGATTTTTCTTAAATAATGAATTAAATTGTAAAAAATATAATAATGTACAGAAATATGATAATATGTTCAAAATAAAAATGTAAATAAATCATTTTTATTTTGAACATATTATCATATTTCTGTACATTATTATATTTTTTACAATTTAATTCATTATTTAAGAAAAATCTATTTTCTTTTCCTAAACATATTGTTTGCTAAAATCTCATCAAGATCATGTTTCTTGACAGATGTCCTGAAGATGGAACGTACCTAGTTCCGAAACGTCGACAATAAACAAATAATTAAATAAAGAAATTGTTTTTTTAAAAACTTTTCTTGTTTTTTATTTTGTATTATTTTTGGATTCTTGTTCGAAACTCTACAAAATATATATATATATATATCTCAAATCCCGTTTATATGTGTATCATTCAATCTGCCATACATATACTGTACCTATCTTACAGTATTTTAATTTCTGGTAGACATTTCATGTTTCTTATTCATAATCATGAATTTATTATAATACATATTCTAATATTGTCCAGGCTCATAAGTAAATTGAAATTTTTGGCAGATGACAGTTTTCATTCGTTTTCAATGCCAAACAATGTCTTAAATATTTACAATATCAAACAATAACATGTCGTTTTTTGCATTTTTTTCCATTTATTTCCACAATATTACTATATTTTTATAATCACATACATTCTCAAAAATTTCCCTTTACAAACTTTAGAAAGATTTATCAAAATGTGAATAATTGTTTAGAAGAAGCATTAAACCATACACTCGTACAGAAGACTTTTATATATAAGATAATACAAATATGATTATGAAAACCCTTAACAATAAAATTACACATGCTATATGTTATATACTTAAACAAATAATTTTTTCATTAAAACATTACTAATTTATATTTTCATCTAATTTACCTTTGGCGGCTCGTACCTCAAAACACTCGTAAGTCGGGGCACCACTGTACTTTACAAAACTTATATACCATTTACATATTTGTAAATTCAGCATATTTATAATAATAATTCCAATATTTGACTAATGCCTTACTTATCTTATTTATTATATTATTTATATGTTTATATATATATATATATATATATCATATAATAAATAATGCAATATACAATATAATATAATAAATAATATATTATTTATTATCCCTAAGGCTCAGCAGCAAGCTCAACAGCAATCAGGCAACCACGATCATGGTCAAAATGCAAAAAGGGTTCGTCTGGCTGGTCCCAGCGGTCATCCTAATAACGGAAATCAGATGACCCAGCAACAGCAGCAAGATTTCCATCACAGTCAGCAACAACAGCAGCAGCAGCAACAACAGCAACAGCAGCAGCAACAACAACAGCAGCAGGCCGCTATGATGTTTAATAACAGTCAGCAGCAGCAGCAGCAACAGAATAATTTCCAACAGAGATTTTAATAATAGATATTTTAATAATAATAATAATTTATATGATTTTATAAAATTTAACCACCCCGAGTGGAAAGGGTTAAATTTTATGTTGATGCAGTTTTGAGGCGCTCATGGAATTAGTGACGATGCGTATTGATAATGATAATTTTAAATACGCATTATTAATTTTAAACTGACGATATTGTTTTAGTAAAAGGTTGTGAACGTTTGGTGTTATTATTTAAAATGACTTTTATGATGAATTTGTACATACTAATTTTTTCTGACGATAGGGACTAATTTATCATTTTAATTGCCCATGTTCTAATTTATTTGATAATATGGCTATGCATAAATTAACCAGTTAACTGTGATTTATGAGTATACTCGGCATGTGGCAGAATTTTGTATATTGGCGATGACGTGTATACTCGTCGTGCGTTCAAAGCAATGATCATTGACTATATAAATTGCAATTTTTGAGACAAACAAAATATTTTCCAATTTTAAGATGTTTTTGGAGTATTTTGAGGTTATGATGGTACAAAATGATCAGTTTTAAGTGACAAAATTTCGTATATTGACGATGACGAATATACTCGTCATTAACCATTGATTATATAAATTGCAATTTTTGAGACACAAAATATTTTCAAATATTAAGGTGTTTTTGGAGTATTTTGAGGCTACAATGGCACAAAATGAGTAGTTTTAAGTAGCAATATTTTGTATATTGACGATGACGAATATACTCGTCATAAACCATTGACTATAAAAATTTCAATTTTTGAGAAAAACAAAATATTTTCAGATATTAACATGTTTAGAGTATTTTGAAGCTATGATGAAACAAAATGAGTACTTTTAAGTGGCAAAATTTTGTTTATGAACGATGACGAGTATACTCGTCGTGCTTTTAAATCTGTGGCCATTGATTATATAAATTGCAATTTTGGAGAAAAACAAAATATTTTCAAATATTAAGATGTTTTTGGAGTATTTTGAGGCTATGGTGGTACAAAATGAGTAGTTTCAAGTGCCAAAATTTTGTATATTGACGATGACGGGTATACCCGTCGTGCGTTTAAAGCATTAACCATTGACTATATAAATTGCAATTTATGAGAATAACAAATATTTTCAAATATTAAGATGTTTTTGGAGTATTTTGAGGCTATGGTGGTACAAAATGAGTAGTTTCAAGTGGCAAAATTTTGTATATTGTCGATGACGAGTATACTCGTCGTGCGTTTAAAGCATTAATCATTGACTATATAAATTGCAATTTTTGACACAAACAAAATATTTTTAAATATTAAGATGTTTTTGGAGTATTTTGAGGCTACAATGGTACAAAATGAGTAATTTCAAGTGGCAAAATTGTGTATATCGACGATGACGAGTATACTCGTCGTGCTTTTAAATCAGTGACCATTGACTATATAAATTGCAATTTTTGAGAATAACAAAATATATTCTTAAATATTAAGATGTTTGGAGTATTTTGAGGCTATGATGGTGCAAAATGAGTAGTTTTAAGTGACAAAATTTTGTATATTGACGATGACGAGTATACTCATTAAAGTCTTTATAAATTGCAATTTATATTGTTACTAATTATTTTACAAATATTTTCAAATATTAAGATGTTTTTGGAGTATTTTGAGGCTATGATTGTACAAAATAAGTAGTTTTAAGTGGCCTTTTACCTTAAGACAGTGGCTTCCAACCTTTTTTGCACCGCGCCCCCTGCTCTAATAAAAAAATGTTGCGCCTTAAAACAGCCCCACAGGTTGGGAACCACTGCCTTAAGAGGATATTCTGGTCTGAAATTTTTGTAAAAATCGATTTCGTTTTTTATTTCTGGATATTTTCAAAGTTAAAATATTCAAGAATATGTGTACAAGAGCGTTTTCCAACATTTAAATTATTTTAAGAGATTTATTTGACCACGACAATTTGTCTCTGTTTTCTTCCTCCACAAATTTTTTAACACATTTTTTTCGATATGATACCCACGATTTCTTGACCTCTACTGAATGAATTTACTTAAAAAAATTTCAGAGCTTCTTTATAGACTCCTCTTTATTGTGAATTACATTTTACTATATTAAGTAAATCCAGAATATAAAGAAAGTTGTAAACTAAGCTTTGAACAAAGAATTCAACAAGTGATAGAAAACAAAAGTTTTTTAACAAACCATTTCTTTATTTACTGTCGACATTTCGGAACTAGGTACGTTCCATCTTCAGGACATCTGTCAAGAAACATGATCTTGATAAGATTTAAACAAACAATATATTTAAGAAAAGTAGAAAATGGTGAATTTTTATATAAAACGAATAAAATTGTGGAAAAAATAATGTACAGATATATGATAATATAATCAAAATGAAATTGATAAAAATAAATGAGTGAAATTAGAAAGTTTCAAGAATAGGTTACTGAAAAAACAGAATTAATTATATGTATGATTGATTATACACTAACACTTATTCACTAAAAAATAATATCACTTTTTCTTTTTATAAAATCTAGTGAAAAAGTGTTAGTGTATAATCAATCATAAAGGCAATTAATTCTGATTTTTCAGTGATCTTTTCTTATTCTAAAACTTTCCAATTTTTTAATATTTATTTTTTTTCAGTTTCATTTTGATTATATTCGCGTCATATTTCTGTAATGTTATTTCTTTCACAATTTTATTCATTTTATATAAAAAAATTCATCATTTTCTACAGTAAATAAATCAAGAAATGGTTTTTTAAAAAACTTTTTTGTTTTTTATTACTTTCTGGATTCTTTTCAATTTGAAAAGTTGAATATATCAGTATCCGGTGGCGATTTTTTGAGACCCCTCATTTCATCAATTTAAAATTAAAACTTTATGACAATTTTTTATTTTCAAAATTTTAAATTATATTTTGTAAAAATATTGTTTGTCTTTTTAAAAATCACATAAAATTAATACCACTTCTAGACCCTTAAGGCAAGTTGCATGAACTTTCTTTGAAAATGAGGAAATAATACATTTAATTAATTAGAATTGCGATTCAGCCATTAATTGCTTATTTCATAAATATTAATAATATTTTTTTTAATCACAAACTAGTCAATACGATTTTTAATTGATATATTTTAAACAATCTTATAGTACATGCAATTGCAGTAATTAATTAAAAATTACTACATTTTTTCAATTTTAAAATTTAATTTTAATTAAAAATTAAATTTAATTTAGTTAACCCATTTTATTCTTTTTCATGTCGTAAAAATGAATGGAATATATCTATACAGTATATTTTGATAAATTTTTATAAATAAAGTACTATTTGTAGGCCTATGATATTTTACAATACTCATATTGCTCCACATCAAGAATTAGAATTTTGAATTTCATTTTGTGTTATAATTGAATTTATTTATTATGTATGTAATGTAATATATAATATAAGTTATATGATATATACATCCAAGATCTTACCTTAATTGTGATTGACGAATTTACTCGTCATGACTCGATTATGGCGACAAAAAACTATGCACTGTTCGATATGAGCGCCACAGTTAACTGGTTGATATATTTAATGACTTAATAGTAAAAGGTTTAAATTTTCAAACCCAACTGTACTTTTACCTTTGGCGCCAACTTTTGGCCATGATGACGCCATTGACATCTCTTTTAATGGCATAAGAAATGTTAAATATTGTTTTAATATTTAATGTAATGTGGCTTGATATGTTGTTATATTAACAATATTTTTATTAAAGAAAAATTTGTGTATTTTATAAAGCTTGACAACTTGTGCTATGACAATCAAGTGAATTTTTTCATGGATTTTTGTGCAAAAATAACTTTCTTAGGTAATTTTAGACTATTATAACTTGACCATTATATCCCTCAACTTTATTAAATAATAATTTATTACCATTAAGGGTTATGTATGTATGTTATTTTATTATTTATTTATATTTTATCTAGTTATATAATTTGACTTAAAACTACTTACAATGTACAGTGTAAATATGAATTTTTATAAAATGAGCATGTGTGTATATAACAACTAACATTATATAAGAATTTTTATATTAAATAATATAAGCTATATATTATAAACTAGTTTTTGGTATTTTATTTCTCAGTCATTGATAATTTGATTTTTTGATCTATCCAATCTCGATAATGAGCCACTTTAACATATACACCTGGTTTATTGGCGTGGCCACAATGTTGACCCCATGATGTTATCCCGTACAAAGTGAAAGCCCCTGAAGCAATAATAATAATTAACTTTGCTGTTAAATTTATATTTTTCCAATATCGTGTTTTACTTACCTTCATGTAAGCACGCTAAAGGTCCTCCAGAATCCCCATCACAAGCGTCTACTCCTTCGTCTAACTCACCAGCACACACCATGCCTTCCATAATGTTTCCACCGTAAACTTGAGGCATCCTGCATACATCCATCGATTGAAGTGGGACCCATCCAGCTCTTAGTTGGTTCGAGGGACCTATATCATAATATAAATAATATTGATATATATGTCATACAGTGATTATATATGGCTTCGATCCTGATGTAAAATAGATAAATACATTTATATATTGAATTATACACTACATTCGGTATATAAATGAATATATACATTTATATATTGATTTATACATCACTATATATGGCCTAACTGCCTTAGTTTGTTTGGGAATTGTATATATAAATGTATATATTGATTTATATATGATTATATATATATATATATATATATATATATACTAGCTGTCTTAGATTTATACATGATTATATATATACTATAGCTGTCTTAGTTTCGATGGGAATTATATAAATTCGATGGGATATAAATGTATATATTGATTCATACATGAATAATGTATATATATATATATATATATATATATTAGCTTTATAGGCGTATAAAGCGGTATATAAATATATATATTGATATTTCTTCAAAACTAGGATCATAATTACATGTTTAATGGCGTATAAAGCGATATATAAATGTATATATTGATATTTATTTAAAACTGGGATCATAATTATATTTTTAATGGCGTATAAAGTGATATATAAATGCATATATTGATATTTCTTCAAAACCGAGACCATAATCATATTTATAATGGCGTATAAAGCTATATATAAATGTGTATATTGATAATCCTTCAAAACTGGAGTCATAATTATATTTTTAATGGCATATAAAGCGATATATAAATGTATATATTGATATTCCTTCAAAACCGGGACCATAATTATATCTCTAATGGCGTATAAAGCGATATATAAATGTATATATTGATATTACTTCAAAACCGAGACCATAATCATATTTATAATGGCGTATAAAGCGATATATAAATGTATATATTGATATTCCTTCAAAATCAAGATCATAATTATATATCTAATGGCGTATAAAGCGATATATAAATGTATATATTGATATTTCTTCGAAACTGGGATCATTATTATATTTTTAATGGCGTATAAAGCGAATTATAAATATATATATTGATATTCCTTCAAAACCGGGACGACAATTATATTTTTAATAGCGTATAAAAGCGATATATAAATGTATATATTGATATTTCTTCGAAACTGGGATCATAACTATATTTATAATAGCGTATAAAGCGATTTATAAATGTATATATTGATATTCCTTCGAAACTGGGAGCATAATTATATTTTTAATGGCGTATAAAGCGATATATAAATGTATATATTGATATTTCTTCGAAACTGGGAGCATAATTATATTTTTAATGGCGTATAAAGCAATATATAAATGTATATATTGATATTTCTTCAAAACTGGGATCATAATTATATTTATAATGGCGTATAAAGCGATATATAAATGTATATATTGATATTCCTTCAAAACCGGGACCATAATTATATATCTAATAGCGTATAAAGAAATCCAATAGGAATCCACTAAGATTCCGACTTTTCTAATGAAATTGCGTGCAGCGCCTCTATGCAAAAATGTTCCCAGTTCTCTTGGAACTACGTAGTGACTACCGGGTTCATATGAATCTGTGTTAGATGGCGCCACCGACCGAAACGTCAAACAGTAAAGTGACAGTTGGTAATAAATAATAATAAACAATAATACTGGTATAAATGTGCTGTTACATTGTATGTGAATTGGATATATAAATGTATTTTTTGATTTATACACGGTTATTAATTTATATATGGCCTCGGTATTTAAGGAAAATGGATATATACATTTAATAGTCAGTTAATATAATTTCAAAGTAAATTTATTATTACCGATTGTGTTACTTCATGTTTTCTATATGAATGTGCAAATTAATGTAAGTGAACGAATTAAAACAACAAATTGTAAGTACCACAGTTCGATGACAAATTAAAAATGTTTTATAAGCGCCTTTTTGAATTTCTAAAATATCTCAAAGCGTTCTCAATAAGATATTTTTTAACATTTTTAAACATTTCGGTTTCGCAAGATCCATATTGATTTTTTACTCGTACGCATAATCCTTAAAAAAATATAATGTAAAAATGCATTTTTATGAAAACTATTGCAGCTAATTTGGTGATTCAAAAAGTTGTTCTAATAAGTTATTTTTAATTTGCCATCGAATAGTAATGTACTTGATTTCCAATTTTCACAAGTTCACGGAGAATATATTATTCTTTTTAAAACAAAGTTGAAATCGAAATTTTGATAAATGCAATGGAAAATAAAAATAAAATGAAATGGTAAAAGTTTGTTTAAAAATCCATGGACAGAATCTTTGAATATTTGAAAAAAAATAAAACGGCAAAAACTTTGTTTGAAACCTTTTTTATATAAATAAAAAAAAACGGCAAAACTATAAATAACGATAAAAGTACTCTTTTATGAAAAGTACTCGTATATGAAAGCACTCTTTTTGTGTTAGATAGGGAGAAACTAGATAAAATTTACTACAATTCCATGCCAACAATTATATACACTCCGATATAAAAGTTTTGAATAAAACGACTTTGAATTTGATTTTTCCTTCTTCAGTAATAAAAAGCAACTACGGGACATTTTTTTGTATTTTGTCAAATAACTCACAAATTTTATATGAAAGCACTCTTTTTGAGTTAAATAGGAAAAAACCAGATGAAATTTACTACATTTTCATGTAAACACACTATTTATACACTATTTCCTGATTATATATGGCCCCGGAATTCAAGGAAAATGGATATATACATTTATATATCGATTTATACACTATTTCCCGATTATATATGGCCTCGGTATTTAATGAAAATGGATATATACATTTTATATATCGATTTATACACTATTTTCCGATTATATATGGCCTCGGCATTTAAGGAAAATGGATATATACATTTATATATCGATTTATACACTATTTCCCGATCATATAGCCTCGGTATTTAAGGGAAACGGATATATACATTTATATATCGATTTATACACTATTTCCCGATTGTATATGACCTCGGTATTTAAGAGAAATCGATATATACATTTATATATCGATTTATACACTATTTCCCGATTATATATGACCTCGGTATTTAAGGGAAATTGATATATGCATTTATATATCGATTTATACACTATTTCTCGATTATATATGACCTCGGTATTTAAGGGAAATTGATATATACATTTATATATCGATTTATACACTATTTCTCGATTATATATTCCGAGGCCATATATAATCGAGAAATAGTGTATAAATCGATATATAAATGTATATATCCGTTTCCCTTAAATACCGAGGCTATATATGATCGGGAAATAGTGTATAAATCGATATATAAATGTATATATCAATTTCCATTACATCGATATATACATTTATATATCGATTTATACACTATTTCCCGATTATATATGGCTTCGGAATTTAAGGAAAATCGATATATACATTTATATATCGATTTATATACTATTTCCCGATTATATATGGCCCCGGAATTCAAGGAAAATCGATATATACATTTATATATCGATTTATATACTATTACACGATTACATATGACCTCGGTATTTAAGGGAAATTGATATATACATTTATATATCGATTTATATACTATTACCCGATTATATATGGCCCCGGAATTCAAGGAAAATCGATATATACATTTATATATCCATTTATACACTATTTCTCGATTATATATGGCCTCGGTATTTAAGTAATATGAAAATATACATTTATGTACCGATTTATACACTATTTCCCCATTACATATGGCCTCGGAATTCAAGGAAAATTGATATAAACATTTATATATCGATTTATACACTATTTCCTGATTATACGAGTATATGGTCTCGGAATTTAAGGAAAATGTATATATACATTTATATATCGATTTATACAATATTTCCCGATTATATATGGCCTTGGTATTTAAGAAAAATGGATATATACATTTATATATCGATTACCACTTACTTGATTTGCCAGTTTGAATCGACCCCCATCCAGAAATCGTGCAATTCTTTCCTGGTGTATAATCAGCATTTTTCGGTGGCAGACAAATAGGTCTTATCCATCTTCCCAGAGGTACACCATCTGGTTTCAGCTTTATCAGCGCGATATCGTTATTCATATGTTGTCCTTTTCGGAAATCTTCATGGACGTAGAATCGCTCGATGTAGACTTCTAATTCTATACTTGGATGGTCACCTACTCTGACAAAATATGCTCCTTTGGAAAAAGCTACCAGACAATGGGCGGCTGTTAGTAGATGGAGTTTTGAGATCAGTACTGCTCCACACCAATGTGCTGATTGGGCTGGTCCTCGAACTCGCAAACTAGCCTGAAAATAAAATATTTGAGTATTATGGAGAAACGAAGTAGATATGTAATTAACTAGATGACTCGACAGCCAATGTCCTGTACTTATGTTTACAATTCAAAAGTTCCAATTTTTTTAATAACCTATACTGATCTTTATCAATTAGTTAAAAATTATTATGTTTTTTACACTACAGTCTATACCAGTGATTCCCAACCTTTTTTGAATTTTTTTTTAGTTGAATTTTTTTTTATAGGTTGGCAACTAACTGCGCGTCTTTTGTTAGAAATTGGTAGTTATCGTTGGCCACTAAGTAAGTGCGCATTTTTGTTAGAAAAACAAAGACAATTTTTGCGTGGAATTAAATAACTTTGCTCTGTATACCATTTTAATCGATGACCTTTTGTAATTTTCCAAGAGGCATCATTATCCCAAGTTTATAAAACTTCTAGTTATTATTAGCAAAAATTGAATTAGATACAATTTGACACCATCGAGATTTTTTTTTTAATTCAAGGGTTTTAAACAGATGGTTTGTGGTCAGGAATATTTGGTGGATGTGTAGAAAAATTTCAAACCACCCCCAATAATTTTTAAACATTTAAACACAAATTTTTTCTATTAGCCGAATCAATTATTGCTTTAATTAAGTTGTCCAAAACTTTAACTGGACGATCAGAGCAGCATTGAGTGTTTTACATGTAGACTACCTCAACAAACCTAAAAAATCATTTGAAGCAATCTAAGAGTAAAAACTGCACTTAGTCGCCAACCTTATACTATTTAATGATACAATGAAAATTAGTTTTTTTTTAAATTAATGCCATCTTTAGCCATAGTCACTGAAAGCCTTGTATAAAACTCTGTTCGCACAAAGCTTTGCAATTAACTTTGGTATTAAATATCACTTTTCTTGTGCACATTTCAAGTCGAGTCTTGTCACACACCTTAAAATAAAGCATTTTGCTGAGCAGTCAGAAACTTGATTTACCTAAGTTTTTGGTAATTTTCATAAATTGGAATATAGAAGTTTAAAATAATTAGTAAAAGGCTATTTGAATCCATATGAATATACCATTTTCAGATTATAATTAGTAGTTGAAATTTTATTATAAAGTAACGAGAAATATTCAAATTCAAGCTAATCGTTTCACTTCTGAACTTGAGAGTAAGATAAACCTATTTTCAAAATTTCATACAAATTGGAGCACAGTAAAAAATTCAGACCCAAAACGCTCCATTGACTTGAGTAAATATTCCGTATCGGATGGCAAAAATATGAAAATACTAACGTTTGTATGTGAAAAAGAAAAGGGCTGTTTTTAGGGGTTTCCCGGCAATTCGATTTTTTCGAGAACCATCCTTGGATTTCAACGAACATTTTAAAAATTTTTTTGCGATTCATTTTTATATTATATATTTATTATTTTACCTGCCAAGGGTAATCTCCAATTTTTGCCAAATTACCACGAACCACTCTGAATGCAATACCATCTTCCTCATCCTGTTCTTCCCTAGTTTTCTTATGTTTAACCCTGACTCCACATTCTTGGGGTAAAATCTCACCGGAATCCCCATCGCCTCGTAAGAAATTATCATCCACAAAATCTAAAGTCGAATCGTCTTCACCATTGACTGCAAGTCCTCTTCCTCTGTTAGGTTTAGGAGGATTTGTTGTGTTTGAACAAACGACTCCTACATCTTCACTGTGCCCACAATTATTTTCGCCCCATTGCCAGTGCATACATTGGGCAATGCTGGATTCGTTGCCAAAACAGGCTACTTGGTCGAGCCAGATTTGGCCAGAGCCTGAACCGTAGAAACCTTCTTTTCTGGCACGCTAGATAAATAATTTATAAATATTTAGTATAATTAACTTTCCGTAGGGCAAGTTATAGTAATCGCAAAAAAATCGAAAATGAAAATTTTTATATATCTTTACGTTTTAAAGGTTTCTGAATATTTTGGCATACCTTAGAAAAAATGGATGTATGTGTGTGTGCGTGTATGTATGTGTGTGCGGATACAAATTTTCGTCGACGATTTCGGGAACACGGACGAAGCGATTTGAATAATGCAAAAATCATTTGATTCGTATTGTTAAGCAGACGTGGTGATTAGTTTTTGGCAACGGCAGGTCTAGCCGTTCCGAAGATATGGGACAAAAAGTGCCAAAAACGGTAACTCAGTTTTTAGGAGAACGGAGCGTCCGATTTAAATAATTCAAGAAACGTTTTACTTGTATTAACAAGGTGAAGAACAGATCAAATTTTCATGAAAGTAGGTCTAGCGGTTTCGGAGATCTAAGGAAAAAAGTAAAAAAAATGCCATTTGGCGATCAAAAATGATCATTAGACATATGCACATCAATTTATCAGATATTTTAGAAAGATTTTAACAATAAGTATAAATTTTGTTTACATTCCTATGGGTTCCGTAGCAGTGTTTATCCGTTAGGCGGCGACGCAGCGCTTACGCGCTTCGATATTTCGTCTCTATGCAGTTGAAGCAGTACGATTGCTTTGAAAAAAAGTTCATAATTTCCAAAATATTTCAAAATAAATTTTTCTTCAAAAAGTCTTCTTTTTTTTTTCAAAAAAAGTAAGTTTTGGTCAAAAATTTATAATTTTTCAAAAATCTAATTTTTTCAGAGAATTTTTTTTTCAAAAATGTTAAACTTTTATAAAAAAAAATTTTTTTGGTACGGGAAGTTCCAGCAATTTGCCTTAAGGCACGATGCCATGTGAGTATGAGCTTAAATGTGGACGAAAATATTCCAAAATTACAAAGAAACGGCTTGGCAGATCACCGCACAAAACTGACAAACGATAGTCCTCATTGAGATACATCAAATGGCTTTTGAATTTCTGAAATCGGTTCAGGCGTTTCTGAGAAAACGTCGATGAAAGGTCTAATTTTGACAAACGCCAAAAAAACGATACTAATTTTTGCAAACTTTGACGAATTTTTTAAACTAAACGAGTTGCTGTAGGATCGTAATATTTTAGTATGAAATATAAGACTATGGCATCTACCGTCAAAAAAAAAATCATAAAAATCGGCGCAAACTTTTTTTTTAATACTTTATTACAAGAAAACGGCTCGGCCGATCTCTACCAAAAACTAATCAGCACGATTACCCTTCCAATATCTTTCGAACGGTTTTTTCAAAATCGATTGAGAATTGCAGGCTAAAAGGTGGACGAATTTTTTCACTTTTCTGCGATTTACAAAGAAACGGCTTGGCTGATCGTCGCGCAAATTTGATAGACTCTAGTCCTCATCGAAATACATCGAATGACTTTTAAATTTTTCAAATCGGTCCAGCCGTTTTTGAGAAATCGTCGATTTACGGCAAAAAATCTGTTCACACACACACACACACACACACACACACACACATAATTTTTCCAAATTTGGTCTCATTCGATTCAGAATGGCTTGAAACGTCGAGAAAACATAAAATTAGCGAATCGGATTTTTTTATGAAAACATTAACTTCTCCTTCGGGAAGTTAATTAAGACTTATAAAAATTTGTATTTGTACTCACTGCTGGTCCATTGAAGCCTAACATATTGCAAACAACTCGTGCAGCTTTATCAGTGAAGTCATCATCGCAAACTGTTCCCCAAATTCCGCGAAATTTTACTTCTACACGACCTTCCATTTTATTTGGACCATCAACTAGACGCACCTCGATATCCTCCTAAAAAATCAATAACCTAACATTAATAAAATACATTAATTGTATAAAAATAACTGTTTTTTTTACATTGCAGATTTGTTCTGACTCATCTGACCCATCAGCACAGTCATCGACATTGTCGCATAGGAAACTGGTAGGAATGCACTCGTCCTTTGAGGAACACAACCAAAAATCTTTTGGACAGGTTACTGCAGGAGTTCTGCAAACAACACCAGCAGCCTGGGAAAAAAATTAAACAAATTTTTGAGGTATGTTTAGTGGATTATGATATGAAAAATGATGTATTCCTTACCTCCTCTGGTAAACAATCATGAACTCCCCATCCATTGAATTGACATTCTCGAATCGAAGTCTCGTTGCCCAAACATTCGACATCATCCATCAAAAATATGGTCTCGTTAGCAGGGCCTCGTCGTAAGGGTCCTAAATATTTGGCTTGGGCAGCTCCTAATTTAAAGCCTAATTCTTTACAAATTACATCTGCGTCTCGTAGTCCGAAACGGTCGTCGCATATGTAGCCCCACACTCCAAAAGCTGAGAATACATTTTTGAAGTGAAACTTTTTTAGGCGCAACTAGGGAGTAAATCCGTACAAATGCAACGGCAAAAGCGTTACGCTCGAGTCGAGTGCCCATGATTCGTCATTCGCTCTCGATGATATCATTCGCTCTAGATTGTGATTGGTCGTCGTGTCGCGTGAGAGTGTTTTTTGATTGTATGCGAGTACGTAGTATGTCTCCGCATATAGTGAAAATAACTAGTGGGGCGCATGGCATCGTGCCTTACGGCAAATTGCTGAAACTTCTCGTACCAAAAATTTTTTTTTTTAAGAAGATTAAGATTTTTGAAAAAAAATTCTCTGAAAAAATCAGATTTTTGAGAAACTATAAATTTTTGACAAAAATTTACTTTTTCTTAAAAAAAAAAACTTTTTGAAGACAAATTTATTTTGAAATATTTTGGAAATTCTGAACCTTTTTCAAAGCAATCGTACTGCTTTAAATGCATAGAGACGAAATATCGAAGCGCGTAAGCGTCGTGTCGCCGTCTAACGGATAAATATTGGTACGGAACCCATAGGAATGTAAATAAAATTTATACTTATTGTTAAAATCTCAATAAAATACCTAATAATTTGACGTGCATATGTCTAATGATCATTTTAGACCGCCAAACGGCACTTTTTTTTTACTTTTTTTACTAGATCTTTGAAACCGCTAAACCTGCCTTCATGAAAATAATACGAGTAAAATGTTTTTTGAGTTATTCAAATCGCCACTCCGTTCTCTTAAAAACTGAGTTACCGTTTTTGCACTTTTTGCCCCATATCTTTGGAACGGCTAGACCTGCCTTTGCCAAGAACTAATCAGCACGTTTCCTCATCAATACGAATCGAATGTTTTTTGAATTATTCAAATCGCTTCATCCGTGTTTCCGAAATCGTCGACGAAAATTTGTATCCGAACACACACACATACATTAATTTTTTCTAAGGTATGCCAAAATGTTCAGAAGGTTTTGAAACGTAAAGATATATAAAAATTTTCATTTTTGATTTTTTTTGCGACTACTATAACTTGCCCTACGGGAAATTAAAAAAAAAACATTTAATTAGTAATGATTGGGAGAAGTGGTTATTAGTTTTTGACAAAGGCAGGCTCAGCCATTTCGAAGATACTAAGAGCTAAATATGCAAAAAATGGCAGTTTTTGAGGGAACGGTTTAAAGCGTCCGATTTAAATAATTCAAAAAACTTTCTGCTTGTTTTAACAAAATAATTGGTTTTGAAAAAAAAATTTTGTTTCAAATTTTTTTTTTCAAATTTTTTATTTCAGAAAAATGTGTTTTTTGTCCAAAATAATTCAGAATTTATTTTTAATTCTGACTAAAGTTCTAATATACTTTAACAAATAATTTCAATTTTGTAATTCAGTTTATATAATTCTTATAAATATTATACAATGTTACAATATTTATAATAATCTATTTGAAAACATTCAATATTCCTCGAACATTTCGTTACGGTACGGGAAGTTCCAGCAATTTGCCTTAAGGCACGATGCCATACACCCCAATAGTTTTATTCTTATACTTTTCATCATTTTTTTAAATGAATAATTTTGTAGAAAATTTACCTTTAACTTCAACTCGTCCTTCGTTTGTCTTGTTAGAACCGGATAACCGGATTTCGTAACCAATACGCTCCTCGCACTGTTCTTCATCTGTGCCATCATTGCAGTCTTGGATTTTGTTGCATATCTAATTTAAAATTAAATTTAAAATTTATTATCAAAGGTTTGTTACATTTGGGCGCAAACTGACCAAAACTGCCAATCTGCAAGAGTTTGAATCAGTCTGCAGTTTTTGGTGTTTGTGTTCGGATGGAACAAACCCTAAGATAATATTTTCTTTAAACATTTTGAATATAAACAAAATCTATTTTTACGGCATTTCACTCATCTAATAGACATTTTCATAAGTTTCAATACCAAGAACAAGCATGAGAGAGCGTTATCTTGACAACGCTATTTTATGAGCTCTGATACGGCAGAATTGTCCCCTTAATTAATAATTTTTAATTCTATATACTAAATACTATACCTTGGATAAAGTGATACATTTATTCCCATCACATCTAAAATGTCCGTCAGAGCAAGCTGCTGGCGACTTTTCCCTAAAATTTGGTTGATGATAATTCAGAGGCAGAACTTCCAAAGGAGCCTCCGGAAATTTCTTATGCTTCCTTTTAAAATCTCGATTATTATCCGTCAGTTCCAACTGTTCCACTTCTTCATTAAGATCAAAAGTCTTCGGTGTATCTGTTTCATTCATCTCGAACTTCTTACCAAAGTACATCATTTCTATGATTTTACCCAGAGTTTCTGCAACTTCTGGTCGCAAAGGGTTGCTCTGGGCGTTTCTTGGCGGAATTTTCATGACGTTGGAGGATTTTGCAACCACATTGGGCAGAGGTGTTGTGTAATACACACTTGGTGGTGTGACAACAACCACCAGAGGCGAAGCAACTGGTTGGGCTGATGTTACGTAACCACGGGGGACAGATGGTTGTGTTTGGGACGAAGGTGTTGGGACATTGTACTGTGGTCGTCTTGTACTTGGTGGTGTTGATGGCCCTGTTAAATTCAAGTTAAAAACTGATGGTGTAGCTTGGCCTATTGGAATTGGGGCGACTGGTGGTGGTGGTGTTGTGGTGTGATGAGGTGTCACATTATCGTCACAGTAAACTGGTTCTTTGTGATGATATACTGGTCGTTTGACATCTGGTCTTCGGGGAATGCAGTCAGATGGTCTTCTGTGATCGGTTCTCGCTCTCGAAGGCGTACCTAATTGGAATTGGAAAATATTATGAGATTTTGAATAAACAATAATAAACCAAACCAACTTTGTGCAGTAAACGGAGAGGAAGAAAGGTTATAACCTCTGAATTTTTTTACCGTGTTTGGAATTGCATGAAATTTTGTAATTTGGGGAGTTGCGACTCCTTAATAAACTAGCTATAAGTGAAATTCTGTCTTAATGCAATTAGGGCATCAATCAATTAGGCCTTCAATCAATAATAATAATCAATAAAATTTTGAACTTTTAATAGAATTTTGAACCATATTAAATCATTCTATCTTAAATCATTTATTTTGAAATATTTTGGAAATTCAAATTTTTGGAAAGGCAGGTCCAACGACTTTGGAGATATGGAGGAAAAAGTAAAAAAATGAGCCATCTGGCGGTCAAAAATGAACATTAGACATAAGCACATCAAATTATCAGATATTTTATAGAGATTTTAACAATAAATATAAATTTTGTTTACATTCCTATGGGTTCCGTACCAATGTTCACGCGTTAGACGGCGACGCGGCGCTTACGCGTTTTGATATTTCGTCTCTATGCAGTTCAAGCAGTACGATTGCTTTGAAAAAAAGTTCAGAATTTCCAAAATATGTCAAAATGAAGAAAATATTTTTCATTTCAAAAAAATTTTGTTTTCAAAAAAAAAAATTCTTTTTAAAAAAAAAGTAATTTTTTGTCAAATTTATAGTTTCTCAAAAATCTAATTTGTTCGAAGTAAATTTTTTTCAAAAATGTTAATCGTTTTTAAAAAAATAGTTTTTGGTACGGGAAGTTCCAGCAATTTGCCTTAAGGCACGATGCCTTAATTGCCTTAAGACAGAATTCCACTTACAGCTAGTTTCATCATAATTAACTTCCCGTAGGGTAAGTTATAGTAATCGCAAAAAAATCAAAAATGAAAATTTTTATATATCTTTACGTTTCAAAGGTTTCTGAACATTTTGGCATACCTTAAAAAAATGGATGTATGTGTGTGTGTGTGTGTGCGGATACAAATTTTCGTCGACGATTTCGGGAACACCGATCAACCGATTTAAATAATTCAAAAAACATTCGATTCATATTGATAAGGAAACGTGCTGATTAGTTTTTGGCGAAGGCAGGTCTAGCCGTTCCGAAGATACGGGACAAAAAGTGCCAAAAACGGTAACTCAGTTTTTAAGAGAACGGAGCGTCCGATTTTAATAATTAAAAAATCATTTTACTTGTATTGACAAGATGAAGAACTGATCAAATTGTCATAAAGGCAGGTCTAGTAGTTTCTAATGAAAAAAATAAAAAAAAATCCATTTGACGGTCAAAAATGATCATTATACATATGCACATCAAATTATCAGATATTTTATAGAGATTTTATTTTAACAATAAGTATAAATTTTGTTTGCATTCCTATGGGTTCCGTATCAATGTTTATTAGTTAGACGGCGACGCGGCGCTTACGCGGTTTGACCATTTGTCTCTATGCAGTTAAAGCAGTATGATTGCTTTGAAAAAAAGTTCAGATCTTCCAAAATATGTCAAAATAAAGAAAACAGATTTCCGACGTTATTTTGAAAAAAAAAGTAATTACACAAGAGGGTAAGATGAACCTAATTCCAAAATTTCATGCAAATGGGAGCACAGTAAAAAAAATTCAGATCCAAACGCTCTGTTTACTGCACTAACTCTAATAATTAATAGTATTGAATAATTTCTGATACCGACCTGTTCCCGGATGCCAAGGATTGTAGTTCTGGTTCACCTGAGGAGGTCTGCTTGCTGTTTTCATTTCTGGATTAATTTGCTTGTGAGGATCATAAGGCTCAACAGGCATTCTCGTATTATTTTGTCTGTAACCTTGCACGTTGACTCTGGATGGAACTGTATGCATATAATGTGTTGCCGGAGTTGTGGTCGTAATTGGATCAGTATAGTATTTTACAGTTGTGCTCTGTGGAGGATCTTGACGTTGAATGCTGGGATGTATTGTTTCTCTATTTCCATGAGGTCTTACATATGTGTGAGAACCAGCAGGTGGTTGATTTATATGATCTTGGTCTGTACCACTCGTATGTATATTTGTATTGTAATCAGGTCTGTACTGTTCTGGTGGAAATCTTGGACTGGGTTCATAAACTCGACCAGGACTTGGTTCACGATGTCGTGTATCATCAGGCCTGGAATCAGGTGGTAAGTAAGTATTAGTACCAGCAGGCTGATACCTTCGATCACCTTCTTGATGCACATGATGTGTATGAGTTTCAGAGTGCGTTGGATGATAGCCTCTGTTGAAATCATCTCTGCCTATATTAGGTCTCTCATATATAGGATGTGTGTTGTGCTGATGAGGTTGATATGAACCATGTGCACCATGTCCTATATTCCATTGATTGTTGATTTCAGAATGTTGTCCTTGAGAATCGTAAAAACTATCATCATGCCCTGGAACTTGCATCTCTGGCGAAGGTTCAGGATAAGGCGATTGAGGCCTGTGATAAGTAGGTGTGTGATGGCTTGGGCTAGTATCTGGCCCATAACTTGGCATATTTGTATTTGGTCTATGATGGTGATGGTGGTGATGAACACCATGGTGAGCCCCTTGATTGGGCATCGGAGGAACTAATTGCTGGCTTGGTACATTCGGTTGCTGATGGTGATTGTGATGGAACTCGTTTTGTCTGTGCATGCCATGCCATCCATGATGCCCGTCGTGATGAGTATGGTGTTGGTGAATATTGGAAGGTCTTTGATTTCCATACTGCGATCCACTAACCAGTGGATTTGGTTCATATCCACCTGAGATGTGTTGAAACTCTGGATATTGAGGGTTGGTTTCGTCTTGCCTTCGTTGTGCATTTTGAGGAGGAACTAAATGCGAAGCAGGTACACCGTGTCCACCTTGTTGATATCCGTGCGCATTATGGATGGTTGAACCCTGGTAACTATTTTCTATTTTATTAGATGATATAAATTGCGGATTAGATGGGCCAAATTGTAAATTTTTACCAGGCCTTCCAGGTCTTCTATCCGAAACGTGATGTCTGACAATACCACTTGAAGAGGCTTGTTCGGTGTCAGAAAATTCAGGCGTTGCCAAAGGTTTTGATATATCGCATCCCACATTTTGTGGGTAATCACAAACACTGACTAAGGGATTAAAAGCGGTTCCAGGGCCGCATTCTTGTATGTAGGTGATACCATTAGCGCAGTTTAGAAATTTAGTGCAATCTGTAGGATGCGGAAATATTCCTGACGCGCCTGATGGACATTTTGGTTCACTTGTAGATTTTGAAGATGAAGAAGGAGCAACTCGAGCTTGGGCTTGATGATGTGAAGTACTTTGTAGCTGCACAAAGTTAGCTGAGGTTGAAAAGGCACCGTGCAAACAATCAACCTTATGTGCATGGTCACATTCTAAGGTCTCAGGATTAAACAATGTACCCAGTGCACACGGTTGGATGTAACCTCTACCATTCCAACAGTTCAAAAATTGTCTGCAATCATATGCATACACGAATTGTCCAGTAGCACCTGGTGGACATTCATCTCCAATGTACACCTCTTTGTCAATATTTTGTAAATTTGATTCCGCTTGATATGCCGGCATTAACTTTGCGCTTCTGGCAGATCCCATAAATCTAGAAGTGGCATCTTGATCCTGCAATACAGATTGTTTTAATTGTTTATCTGTTATATATGTCTTAGTGGCATGCTTATCAATTATAGATTTAGTTTGGGAAATGATTGCCCGAGAGCAATCGACATTTGCAAAGTGATCGCAAACATTTTTGATATGATTGAATAAAGTTCCTGGTCCACAGGTCATAACGTAAGCATTTCCTTGCCAACAGTTGATAAATTTTTGACAATTGGATTTTATTGGTATTAAACCTGTATAGTTTTCAGGACAACTAATTTCATCTTGAGTATTATTCATCAACCTCACATCTCGTGATACATTTGAAGGAATTGGTGAATGATCTTCGAAGTTGTAGCTAAATTCAGTGTCTTCGTTGGAAAATATGTGGCGAGCATCTTCAGTAATATTTTTGCAGGGAGATGTTTGGACTCCAATTTGGTATTCTAACATGCACCTGGCATAAAGAGATTTGCCATCCTTGAATTTTTCTTTGTGACGCCCATCAAATTCTTCGACGGACTCGCTGGCATTCAAATCATCTTGGGTTGATGCTGATATTTCAATATCTCTAGATCGGTTAGAATCTGGCTGTAATAAATTTCCTATTGAATCTAGATATGTAGTATCATTGAATACTTCAACACTTAAATTTATATCAGAGTTTTCGTCATTGGTAAAGGTTGTATCATAATCCAGTAATTCTTCATTGACATTTTCTGAAGTAGTGTCAGGTGTTTCTATAGCATTTTCAAAATCTTTGGTGCTTGTCAGTTGTACTAAAATATCATTCTGAGTAGTAGCATTTTCTTCATCCTGGTTTTTAATATACCTGTCGTAGACATTGGCTTGATTTTTACTTTCAGTTTGATGTAAATCATCGACTACTTGGTTTTGTTTGGTCTCTGATAAATTTGTATTTTCATTGGTTTTCAAATTGTTGTCTTCAACTGGTTGATTCAGTTCTACAGGCTCAGTGAAATTGCTGAAGACTTGGATACTTTTATTATTTTCATCTTGGATACTTTTATTATTCACATCAGCGAAATTGTTAATACTAGATGCGTTACCTTGAATATCACTTTTA